GCCTCATGGCAGTCTGGGAAGTGGAGTTGGATGGGAGCGTTTATTTCCAGAGCCTTTGAGGGCTTGGGAGACCATGGCATGTCTCAGGCTGGGCCGCCTGGAAGCTGAGGGTACGTGGTGGTTGCAGCAGCCGTCCATGTCATGGAAGTGCTGACCTCTGCCAGTTGGAGGATGGTACCCATCCTGGTCTGTGTCTGTCCTGTTTCTCCTGCCTCTGCTGTCCCCTATCTCCCTGCTCTTGGACTCAGGTGTCTGGCACAGATGTCCATAGGTGGGTAGGCACAGGTTGGGGACTGTCATTGCTGTCAGAGTGCAGGGTGGTGTATCAGCTAGGGAGAGAGGCTAAGCTGCTGTAACAAACAGTCCCTGCAACAGTGTGGTGGAAAGAACAGAGAATGTCTCCCTTTCCTCAGAAGCAATGGTTGTGTGTGTCAAGTGGGTGAGTGTGTGTCCTGTGTGGCCCTCGTGACTCGTGGTTCCAGGGGCCGGGCCATGAGTGTCATGTGGTTGAGACGTGGGGAGGGGATTTGAACCGAGGTCTGCTGGACTCGGAGGGTCCTGCCCCTTTCCCTCCTTGGCTGCTGATCCTAGTGGGGATGGGAGGGCAGGAGGAGGGAGTCCCGTGGCTACCAGGCTCTGCCAAGGAGATTGCATCCCCTTCTCCCACCTCCTTCCTGACTCTGGCTAGAAAGGGAAGCTGCCCAGCCCAGGCCAGGGGTGGGAGGGGCTTCGCCTGGTTCTCTACAGCCGGGTGGTGAAGCTGGGTTTGGGGGTGGCTGCGGTGGGGAGCAGGCAGGTTTGCCTTCTGGTCTCTGGGATGCCTCTGAGGGGTCAGTTTCCAGAGTTTTCCTCCGTGGCCTTAAACAGTGCCTGGCATATGGTAGGCATCCAGTCGCTCTCGGTGGGAAGCACAAATACCCCCACCCCGAGCAGTGTTCTGGTGAGGGGCTTCATGGTGGTCTGCACAAAGGCTTCGGGGTGCAGGGTGGGCTGGGGGTGTCTGGGAGCTCGGAGACAGCCAAGAGCCAAGCGTCCTTGCAGTGAAATTCGTGCTGGTTGCTCCCAGGGCAGATGCAAGAGGGAGACAGGGGCCTGGAGTAGAGGGGGATGAGCATGGGTGGGATGAAGACAGCTTGTACCTGGCTGAGCCGCTGGAGAGGGGGCGCCTGGGTGTGCATCGAGGTGGGGGGTCTGGCTACAAGCCCACACTGCCTGGGTCTGCCTCCTAGACTCTCCTCTTGCCACAGCACCCTCCTGCAATGGCCTTGAGGCAGGTGTGCAGGCCTTCACCACAGGTGGCCACAGCCTTAAGGTGGGGCCGGATGTCGTCTGCTTGTGGAGGTGGTGGGACTGTCTGGCTCCACTTCTGTGTGGCCTTGGCCAAGTTGCTCAATCTCTCTGGGTTTCCATCTGTGAAGTAGAGAAATTCACCGCCCCCCAACATGCAGGGGTCCCTGAAAGAGACCCCTGAAAGAAGGGGCAGGTGAAGCTGTGGGCTGTAGCTGCTCAGACACTGGTTGGCCCCTCCCTGGCTGGGATGGAGGGGACACAGCGGAGGTTTACAAACCACATCTCTCCAGAGCTTCAGAGAAGAGGCCAGCCCGAAGGTGCTCATGCATCCTTTCCTATAGGGCGTGTGAAGATTGAGAATCCTCCCAATTTAAAAAAATCATCCGTGTTGGCCGGGCGTGGTGGCTCATGCCTGTAATCCCAGCACTTTGGGAGGTTGAAGCGGGTGGATCACCTGTGGTTAGGAGTTCGAGACCAACCTGACCAACATGGAGAAACCCAGTCTCTACTAAAAACACAAAATTAGCTGGGCGTGGTGGTGCATGCCTGTAATCCCAGCTACTTGGGAGGCTGAGGTGGGAGAATTGCTTGAACCCGGGAGGGGGAGGTTGCAGGCAACAAGAGCAAAACTCCATCTCAAAAAAAAAATCATCTGCGTGGTAATTATGTCATCTCATCCAACGTGCTGCCGATTTCCAGATGGCCTCTAGGAAATGCTGTCCCTTAAAACTGGATTCCGAGACGACCAAGCATGGCCATTGTGCTGTTGTATCCAGACAGCGTGACAAGTGACAAAGTGTGACAAGTGACAAACTGTGATGTATCTGGGAGTGAGCGGCACAGCAGCACCGTGGGGGCTCCCTGGACCCATCCCTGCCTCTTCGTTGCCAGCGGAATCCCAGTCCTCAGCCCTCCCCAGAGCGGGGCATGTCTAGTCCTACGGGTCGTATTCCCCAGCAACTGGTTTAGGGCAAGCGTGAGACCTACTCTGGCCAATGAGGAGCAAGGGGATGTTTCCAGGAGTTTCTGGAAGGGTTTCTCACTGCTGAGGAGAGACGTGCAGAAGAAAGAGGCAGTTTCTCTCTTTCTGCTGATGGTGTGGGGGTAGCCTGTGGTGACTCCCTGAGTCATGGCAGCCTCTGTGCCACCATGAGGGACCTCATTGAGGACTTCGCACCTCCCCGAGGTCCCAGATCAGGAGGCAAGACCAAGACTGGGTCCCTGCCTCGCCTCCAAGCCACAGACTGAGCCTGGGAGCCCTCTTATGTCTTCTGGCTCTGTGGGATAGGTTAGCTGTATTAGACCTGAGCAGCCTAAAGTTGGGTTTGCTGCTATCTGGGGTCAAAGCAGCTGAGGCTATACACCGTGGCTCGCCCCTACAATCCCAGTACTTTGGGAGGCTGAGGCAGGCTGACCACAAGGTCAGAAGTTTGAGAACAATCTGGCCAACATGGTGAAACATATTTTCTAAAAAATACAAAAATTAGCCTGGCATGGTGGTGCATGCTTGTATAGCCAGTTACTGGGGAGGCTGAGGCAGGAGAATTGCTGGAACCCGGGAGGTGGAGCTTGCCACTGCACTCCAGGCTGGGCAACAGCAAGACTCCATCTAAAAAAAAAAAAAAAGCAGCTGAACATGGCTCCACAGGCAGGCTTCCCCAAGTCATCCTGTGAATCAGGCCATCAGGTTCATCGCCTGGATTCTGAGAGAGGAAAATAATCCCAGCTGTAAAACATAAAACTGTTAAGAATGGCAGTGAAGGGCACATTCATTACATATGTCTGCAAAAGTCAGCGCCATGGGCTATCAAGACAAATAATGCCTCTCACAGCAGGTTACCTGTGCAGGGGATTGGCCTGCTCCAGACACTGTCTAACTGAGTTTTCTTGCACCAGATTCTCAGAGTGGCCACAGCTTCGAAGACCAGGAGGCAGAGAGTTCTCACCTATGGGAAGGCTGGGGCCAGTGGCCTCAGAACCCATGAGTTTCACACTCTGCCCTCTGCTCCTGCATGGGCCCTAGAGCCCAGAGCTGTGCCTGGGACTGGCCTGAGCCAGTGCCAGACCCCGGACTGGGAGGAGGGCCAGGAGGAGGTCCGGGAGCTGTTCCGGTGGGTGGGGACCCAAGGAGTCTCCCTCTCTCCAGTGCTTGGGGTCTGAGACTGTGGGCGCCTGGCTGAGGGCATACTCCTGGTCTACCCCTGGCCATGGTGGCGGCACTCAGCTGCCTGGTCTGTTGTTTACACGTCCTGCTCATCCATCAGCTGGATTCATAAACACAGCAGAGGCCTGGGAGCCCAGTGGCCCCATGGCCGGAGCAGGGGCCAGGGCAGGGGTCTGGCTCTCAGAGGGGCTGCCAATTGGGGCCTGGAGATTCCAGGCACGGCGGGCACCAGCAGGGTCTCCTGACCCACGCCTCTCCCAGACTGTTGCTAGGTGGGAGTTACTCATTAACCCCGGCACAGCCAGGCCAGTGTTTGATGAGGCTGGGTCTGGGTGAGCCAGGGTGAACCAAGCCCACCTGGGCATGAAATGTTCGTTCCCCATGAGTGGATGCTCTGAGAGGGCCGTGGTCTGTGAGGCCGGCCTGGCTGAGGGGATGTGGTCCCTGGGTACCCCAATGGTGCCGTCTCCTGACCCTGGAGGGCCAGGCTGCAGGTGCTGCTACCTTCCAGGGTCTCAGCTTCCTGGCTATAAAATGGGATGGTGACATTCCTCATGCAGGCTCACTTCTGCAGTAGACGCAGTGCTCTACCTCCGGGGCCTGGGGACGGGTCAGACTGTGGTGCTGAGAGTGGCTCAGAGTTGAATTTGGGAAGCGTCTGAGGCCGATGGCCTGCTGGGCCAGGCTATAGGGTGACAGCCATCAACACTTGCGGGAGGCATTTGGTGTTGGGGACAGACTGTTTCCCTGGCTGCTCAGAAGAAGCCTCTGTAATGTTAGTCTTTGCCACAGCTCCGGGTGTCATGGGAGGATTCCTGCATTCCCAGAAAGGGGAGTCTCTGTCGCCACATGGCCCACGATTTCCCTGTGCCAGGCCACAGCTTCCACATCTGGGGCCCTGGAGGGACACGAATCCAGGGGACATTCGGCTTCCCTGGGCCCAGGTGTCCGCAGGCTGAATCCCTAACGCGTAGCAGGTTCTGCGGCGGTGCCCGGTGATATTCTGCCCATGGCCTCTGTGTTAATCATTGATCTGGGCAACCTGCAGACCCCTCCCCACTTTCCTGTGTGGGGGTGAGGAGGGTGCTTAGCGGGTGTGTGACTCTGAGACAGTGGCCCCCCTGTCCCCTGCTGCCTGGACGTGCTCCCAGTCCTTGAGAGTTAATCCAAGGTTAGCTTGGAGCCTGCCAGCCCTGTGACAAAGATACAGACCTCCAGGGAATGTCCCAGCGTGTCCCCACCCAACCCTTCCACTCACCTCAGTAAAGGCGCGGGAGGCTGGGTGAGTTCCATTTCGAGGAGCTGTCTGAACAAAAACAGGAGCTGGGCCAGGCCGGACGGTGGTCTCTGGGTGGGTCTGTGTCGCTCTGACACCCTGGCTGCAGGTGCCAGGAAGTGGAGAAGCAGTGGCATTGGATGTGGTGGTGGCAGAGGCTCCTGGGGAAGGAGCAGGTGGGAGGTGGGGATTTGGGTGGTGGCCCCCTTCGGGGTGTCCCACCCTGTGCCCACCTGGCCAGCGCTCACATCCCTCCGCCTCCACCCACAGGGCACCGCGTCCGTCCTCCAGCGCCGGTCCCCCAATGAGGAGTACGTGGAGGTGGGACGCCTTGGGCCCTCTGACTACTTCGGTGAGTCCAGTGGGCGTCCCCTCCCTGGCACAGCTGTGGGTGTCTCATTCAGGGTCCTGCGAGGGGCCTGGAGGGGAGGAGCTGCTGGGAGGCTTCCCTGGGGCCTTGTCAGGGGGCTTGGCTGAACCCCAGTGTGGCTGCAAAAGAAGGCTCAGTCCTATTCCCCCAAATTGAGGTCCCAGGGCCAGGCCTGGGTCCCCAGGAGCAAACAGCCCTGGATGTGGGTTCCTCAGAGGGCATGACTTTGGGTGAGGCAGCCTCCCACTTCTGGGATGAGGGGGCACAGTGTAGCTCGGCCACCCACACTCTTGCAGCTGGGGGTCTGCGTCCTGAGGGAGGCCTGGGCACACCCTGGCATTCCTGCAGGATTGCCCCAAAAAAGTGTAGGACAGGCTGGGCACAGTGGCTCGCGCCTGTAATCCCAGAACTTTGGGAGGCCAAGGCCAGCAAGTCACAAGGTCAGGAGATTGAGACCATCCTGGCCAATGTGGTGAAACCCCGTCTCTACTAAAAATACAAAAAAAATTTAGCTGGATGTGGTGGCGCGGCTGTAGTCCCAGCTACCTGGGAGGCTGAGGCAGGAGAGTCGCTTGAATCAGGGAGTTGGAAGTTGCAGTGAGTTGAGATCATGCCACTGCACTCCAATCTGAGGAACAAGAGTGAGACTCCATCTCAAAAAAAAAAAAAAAAAGTGCAGGACAATGCTTAGCTAAACTTGAATTTCAGTTAATAAATAATTCATCAGCATAAGTATATCCGAAATATTTCCTGGGCTATACTTGTGCTAAAAGTTGGATTGTTTGAAATTCGAATGGGTCTGGCATCCTCATGGTGGTTTTTCCTATCCTCAAATGGGGAGCGGCTTCCAGGGTCCTGGGCATCACCTCTCCCTGCTGCAGCCTCAGGACCCCCAGGCCTCCAGGCCAGGCCCTGACCTCTGTCTTTGCCTCCCAGGGGAGATTGCGCTGCTGCTGAACCGGCCCCGGGCGGCCACCGTCGTGGCCCGGGGGCCCCTCAAGTGTGTGAAGCTGGACCGGCCCCGCTTTGAGCGTGTGCTGGGCCCTTGTTCCGAGATCCTCAAGAGGAACATCCAGCGCTATAACAGCTTCATCTCCCTCACCGTCTGAGTGCAGCCCCACCCTGCAGCCCCAGCTCCCCAGTGTGGTGGCCGTGCTGTGCTCGTCTGTGTCAGGGGCCGTGTGGGGCTGAATCCCTGTGGCGTGAGGACTGCCTCTTTCCCGGACTCACTTTTTGGAATAAATAATCATCTTGTGCATTTCCAAATCAAAGGACAAGCGGACAAAACTCATCCTAAGAGCAAGAAAGGGACAGGCCAGGTTCCTCCCCACACATCTCCCGGGCTGCCTCTGTGGGCTCATCCTGGGGAGCCCACCCCAACCCTCCCGGTCTCCTGGAGATGCTTGAGTATCTCACCTCCCAGAATTAGGCCAGGACGTTGCCCCTGAGGCCTGGAGACCCGGTGAGGTCAGGTCCCCCAGATTGAGGTCCGAGTGTGGGCAAGATTGTGTAAAAATGGGCTGTCCCCAAGGGAGATCAGGCTGAGAGCAGGGAGTCTAGCCTGAAGAAAGAAGTCGAGGCCCCTCCCTCAAATGTGCACCCCTCCCTACCCCCTGCCACACCCCCACCTCCCCAGAGGTCCTGCTGTGGATACCAGGGTGGGAGAGTCTCAGGGCTGTGAGGCTGATCTTGCCTCTAACTGGAGAGGAAGCCAAGTGCTGAGACACGCAGGGCTCCTGCCTTGGGAGCCAGGGCCGTGGCCACAGGTAGACCCCATTAGGGGCTGTGTTGGAAGTTCCGTTGGGAGGGGCTGGCAGGATTCCAGTGGTCTATGCACACTTTCTTAGTCCTTCCATGGCGGGTTGGGTGCACTGACAGATGCTTGGGGGTCCATGGGGTCTGCAGTCCCTGCCTGGGCTGACACCCGGGGTGAGAAGAAAACACAATTTAAGTTTGGGACTTGCCCAGATCCAGCGACCTCGGCTGGGGGTGCCCTGTTCTCTCGGAGTTGGGGGGTCCTGGAGACTGTCTGCTTCCACTTGTTTCTGAAGCAGTGTCTTGGAGACCTCGCCAGGGAGAGGAGAGATTTCTAAAATGCACTCTGATAAAGTCCCGGGATGTGCCCCTTCGTAGCCCTTCCCCAGCAGACACACCTAAGTCCCAGCCTCCAGGAGACGGGAGCTGGTGGCCCTCCACTCCACGCCCCAGTTCTCGTGATGTTAGGGAAAAACAGAAGTCAAGGCACCCTCAGGCCCCACACACCTCCAACCGATCAACCAAACTGTCCCTTACTTGCGTCTTGATCCAGCAGTGACGATGTGAGCCAGCCAGGCCCAAAGGGGTGAGGCCAGTACAGAGAGCTTTCCAGTGGCTCCTGGGTGCCCTGAAAGACAAGTGAAGTCATGCAGTTTCCTTGATGTTGCTCCTGTCCCGTCCCGTGCGTGCGTCTGGGGAGGCTGTCCTTGGTCCAAGGCCACCCCTCCCCTGCTGGCAGTTACAATGCGTGGGGCCCCTCCCCGCCCAGCCCCGGCCATGTCTCGTGTCTTCCCCTGCCTGTGATGTCCCTGTGGACCTGTGAGCCCTCCCCTCCTTATCTCTGCTCTGAATGCTGCATGAACCATTAAATGTGCAATGAAGTACCTCTTCCCAGCTCGGGAGGCTTTGGTCTGAAGTCTTTTGTAGATAAGGGTTTTTTTCTTTTTCTTATTTTTTATGGTGGTAAAATACACATAACACAAAAGCTACCACTTTAACCACTTTTAAGTGTCCAGTGCAGTGGCGTTATCCATGTTACAGTGCAGCCACCACTACCAGTCCCTTTCATTGTCCCAAGCGGAACCTCTGCGCCCATGAAACAACAGCTCCTGCTCCCCAGCTCCCAGCCCCGGGGAGACACCCTCCCGCCTTCTGTAGCCCAGGGCATCCACACATTCTCCTTTCAGTGCTATCAGTATACATGATGGTCCATCCTGCACACTGCCATGTCCTGGGGTGGCCAAGCGGACAGGGCCCAGCTCCCTATCTCTGCGCTACAAGGGTTCACAGGTGGTCCCAGGCGGCCCTGTTCCTCGTGGCTGTTTTGTGGGCCCTGACATGGACACTCAGATCCCAAGGCTGCCCTGGGAGGGGTCAGGGTGTGTCCAGGGCCAGGGTACTCTCAGCCTCTGGGGACGGTAAACTCAGGGTCTGAGGGCAGGCACAGCTCACTGGGGCACTGCGTGTTCCCGGGATCTCTTGTGAGCTGGGCTCTGAGTAGGCCTGCAGGAAACATTTCAATAAATAAACAGCAGTGAATAAGCTAAGGGTCGCAGGAGAGAAACCTTGGGAGCTTCAGATTCTGACATCCACAGGCCAAAAACACAGGAACTTTGACACAAGTCTCACACTGTATACAAAAATTAACGTGGATCACAGACTTCAACATCAGCACAAAACTATACAACTTTTAGAAAAAAAGGAGAAACTCTTCTGGGAAATTGTTCTTAGTCTTGACACTGGTCCATAAAAAGGAAATTTGATAAATTGGAATTCATCAAAATGAAAAACTGTTGCCCTGAAAAAGACCTTGTGAGGAAGATGAAAATACAAACCACAGACTGGGAAAAAAAGATTTTTAAACCACATGTTTCCCAGAGAGGACTAATGTCTAGAATCAATAAAGAACTCTCAGCCGGGGGCGGTGGTTCACGCCTGTCATCTCAGCACTTCGGGAGGCCAAGGTGGGTGGATCACAAGGTTAGGAGTTTGAGACCAGCCTGACCAACATGGTGACACCCTGTCTCTACTAAAAAAAATGCAAAAATTGGCCAAGCGTAGTGGCAGGTGCTTGTAGTCCCAGCTACTCGGGAGGCTGAGGCAGGAAAATCGCTTGAAACTGGGAGGCAGAGGTTGCAGTGAGCTGAGATCATGCCACTGCACTCCAGCCTAGGCGACAGAGCGAAACTGTCTCAAAAATAAATAAATAAATAAAAGAACTCTAAAAAACCATAAACATGCAAACAATCCAACTAGGTTATGAGGAGGCACTTCCCCATGAGGACACGCAGACGGCAGTCAACACAGGGAAAGATATCAGACCACTAACCGCTAGGAAAATGCAAATTAAAGCCACTGTAGGACACCCCACACACCTATGCGAATGGGTAGAATGAACAATAGCAGCACTCCGTCCTGGCCAGGGCGTAGAGAAACAGGATCTATGTGAAAAGACCTAATCTACGTTTGATAGGTGTACCTGAATGTGACGAAGAGAATCAATCCAAGCTGGAAAATACGCTTCAGGATATTATTCAGGAAAACTTTCCCAACCTAGCAAGGCAGGACAATATTCAA